ATCTAACTACAAATAACATAGAAAGTATGAATATAGTCAACTATACGAAGTAAAATTTTTAGCTAACTACAACAACATAGAAGTAGGAATATAGTCAACTATACAAACTTCTCATTGCTTTCGAGATCCGTCGACTACAACAACATAGAAAGTATTAATATAGTCAACTATAGAGCTAATTGAAATCACTGTTGGAATTTTATCTAATTACAACAAGATAGAAAGTAAGAATATAGTCAACTATACTGCCGTATGAGATCACTAAATCAAGATTAATTTTCATCAATAAAGATTAATCTTGATTGTTTTTCTTTAAGAGATTAGAGTGATTGGTTCTATAAAAAAAGTGACAATGTCTGTTTAGAGATTTTTACTATTTTCCTTAAAAAAATTTTATCGATCAAAGATAAAGATTTTCTCTATTTTTTACCACTTTCATTTCTCAATTTTCATAGAGACAATTTCGTCTAACTTTTCTTTCTTTCTGCTATATACTTAAATCTTATTATGCATATATTATTTTCTTAATTATCTATCTCAAAACTAATATTAAATTAATTAATTCCAAAAAAAAAAACTAGCCTAGTTTTATACCGGTTTGAAAACTTTATATTTGAGAGTATGGGCCCACTTTCATGTGGACAACTAACCCAAACCCAAATTAATGTCGTTGTGACTATATTTTACTAATCAGAAGAAACCTTGATAAAAAAAATCGAACGGCTTCAATGCTCCCACGTCATTCCAACATTCACACCAGCTGCTTTTGATTAGTCAACGTGCTATTTTATATTTACAACTATATAACATATTTTACCGACAAAAAAGGCAGAAGAAAAGATATAAGCATTACTCTACAAAAGATATAAAAATCTCAATAAGGTAAATCAAATTTCAGAAGGGAGATCTTGAAATAAAGGAAAATTCAGATATGAAGTTATGATCAAAGGAGTGCATAGATAGGGGACCATAACAGCTTATATATGATAACTTGATCAAATGAATTGCTGCTAAAATCAAACCACTTGCGGAAAAAAAAATTAAAACTTACAAACTAACCAAAATGAGTATATGTGGCAAAATTTCAACCCTTAGATTTAGGGATTTTGGTTAGTTTATAAATTTTAATTTTTTTATGGTTGTTCAACCAATTAACCCATATATTATTGTGATTTTTTTTTGGCAATATCTGGCAAAAGAAACAAATACAGTACATTGCATATGTTGATGCACTACATACCTATATAATCAATATAGCCTGTTAGTTCGTTATAACCTATTAAATCGTTGGGATATTATTTTTTTTCTCGACCGTTGAAAATATGAATATCGTCGACATGCAAAATTCATGTGGAAAGCTGCAACCTTTATTCGTTAGACCAAATTAGTGAGACTTCCCATGCACATGAAGACTAAATTGCGGCTCAACTCAATTCGAACAGATTACAGAAGCAAAACAAAATTTAATTACATATCTTAGATGATAGATCTGGTTCGTTCGGTTTATGCATACACTACAAGAAAACAGCCACTTTTCCGACGGAAATTCTGACGGGCGAGATTTCCGTCGGAATTTTCCGACGGTTTACCGACGGTTTTGCGACCAAAATTAAACCGTCGGTAATCCGTCGGTTAATTCCGACGGAATACCGACGATAGATAAAACCGTCGGTATTCCGTCGGAAATCCATCGGTTCAAGACGACGGATTTCCGACGGAGATAAACTGTCGTAATATTCTGACGACTTTCCGACGGAATCCCGACGGAAATTCGATTTTTTCGATGTCGGCAAAGTTTGATTGGTCAGCTCATACCGACGAAACTTATTCCGTCGGAATTCCGTCGGAAATTCGATGTCGGCAAATTTGAGTGGTTACCATTTCGTTAGCGGTGGCCGATGGGATTGGTGGGGTATTATGTCGGAGTTTTGTGACGGATTTCCATCGGAAATCCGTTCTATATAAGTTCCTTCATTTCTTCGTTCATTCATAACACAATTTTACAAACCAAAAAAATTTGTTAGCGATGAGTTCATATTTTCGGTCTTGGATGGACGAGCCAATGATGCATATGGGTTCGAACTTATTAACATCCGGATACGCTGCAGGTATATGCGAGTTCATGAATTTACCCAGAAACCAAGATGCAGCCAAAAAAGGTCAGGATATCAAATGTCCATGTTCTAATTGCTGTAACAGAATTAGTGTTGCGGTTCATACTGTTTGGAATCACTTATATAGATATGGATTTAGGCCGGGATATAAGATTTGGTTTTTACATGGAGAAAGCAATTACGAATATGGTAGTACTAGTAGTAATGCACCTTATTTTCCGGATAGCGTAGAAGAACGTACAACGGAAGTAGATGTTGGGGTAAGTACGGTTGCGATGGTTAACGATGCGTTTAGAGAGAATTTGCAGTCGGGTGGTTATGAGGG